TTCACCAAGCACGATGACAGCAACATCAGCACCACTGTCTCTGCACTCGCTAGCGCGTTCAACAACCCGAAGAAAGCAGCGAAGGGCAAGCACGTGGCGCTAGCCAAGTATTACTACCTAAAGGCTCTCGTATCAAGGGAGGCGGGAGGCGCTAGTGAACTCGAGATACCTATACCGATTACTCGTACCTTCGTCGACAGCTTGAGAGTCGTTTGTCGGGAGTTTGAGGAAGCGAAGGAGAGATCGTCGCGCTCACCGTCAGTGACGTTGGTTGACGACCATGACAGCGTCCTCAGTGATCCTCCAGAGGACCTTCTTGAGCCTACTCAGCCAGTCAAGGCAAGCTCAATGGTCACTGCCGAGGTATCCTCCAATCTCGTAAGTACCCAAAAGAACAAAACGACACATTCTTGCTCCGATACTAACTTTAACAGACTCCCGATGTCAACATTCAGCGACTCGAAACACTCCTTGCGGTCTGCGACGACGAGCGCGAGCTCCAGGCTTCCAACAGTGCTCTAGATACAGAGAAGAAGGCGTTGGAACAGCGGTGCCGCGTGAACAAAGAGAAGCAGGCCGAGTTAAACGCTCGCCGTGAACTGGTACTCAAGGGCATGAGCTTGATGGATGCATTCAAGTTAGGCGGGCAGATGGAGCGGGAGGAGAAGCGCCGAAAGCTCGCTTAGAGTCGCTTGATGAGGGTCACGATGTCCTATATCGTCAGTCATACACTTGAACACTTGGGCAGCAAAGCCTACCCTGGAGGCTACACCGTATATTACTTGTATAACTTGTAAATCTTGATGCATCGTATACTCCTGAGGTACCGATTTCAGCCATAGGCAGAGATTAGACAGAAAAGAAACTCATCGTTATGATGTTGAACTGCCTTCCCATTATCTGATAGCAAGGGATAATCATCAGTCAGTGAATGATCCAGAAGTAACTAATACACTCTCGTAATTAGCGCATTCCGCTGAATATATGACCACCTCGTTTGATCACTGCAGTAGGTACCGCTTTCGTATCTGCACTCTCAGCTCTACCTCTCCCAAGCGTCCAAGCCTGTCAAAGACGCAATATTGCGACTCTCACCACCATGTCCGCCCCATCCCCCCAACCCGACGACAGCCCTTCCTACGCCAAACTCAAGCGCGACCTTGGCGACGACGCGCCTCTCCTCAACTTCCTCCCCTACAAGCGCGCCACTTTCGAGCCGCAGAACGAGATCGCCGAAGCAGCGCCTGAGCGACTCCTCTATGGCGATATGATGGAGAGCAAAGGCTCGCTCTGGATCTACTGGACCCTCAACTACCACAACAAGAAGAAGAGCCACCACGACTACCGGATGATAACCTTCCAGACTATCGAAGGCGCAAAAGGCCATGAGGCGGGAGTGCGTCCGGGCTCAGTCCAGAACGTCGCATTAGCTTCAGCGCCTTTCAAGCATGCGAAAGACCAGGATGCGGTCGCAGCTATCGCGAAGTACTTCTTTATCCGTAGAGGTATCGATATGCAACTGCAGTATCCGGTGTCGTCTGGCCCGTTCAAAGAGGCCCTTATGCGCGTGTGTCAGCATTACAAAGCCATATACAACGAGACGCAAGCCAACAAGGCAGCAAGCCGGCGTTCGTCAGTCATGCCTAGTGGAGGTCGTGATCAGAGTGTTGTTTCGCAGTTCCAAGACACACGAGAACCTTCGTACGCGGCTTCGTTAGCGCCATCAAGACCGGTGTCGCGCGCGCCATCCCGTCCCAAGAGCATGCGCAGTATGGACACTCGCAAGCGCCGACACAGTTCGGGCTCAAATCTCGACCCTCAGCCTGAGACAGAAAAGCGCAGCGCTCCTCGCGAGGGATCTAGCAACTTCTCATCCTATTCCCGACCACCGTCTCCGTTCCTCGCGTCGGTTCAACCTTCCCTTCACGAGCGCCCTGAAGATGGAGAGATGCGAGACCTTTCCGTTAGTAACAACAACGAAGCAGATCGAGTACAACCAGCCGACGGCGCGCGCCCGGACGACTTCGATCGCGAGACGATGATGGATCAATACATTGCGCTCAAAGCCCGGGAAGAGGATCTTGATAGTAGGATCAGCGATATGGAGACGGAGCGTGTACGTATCGCGGACCAAGTAGCGGGGCTGCAAGCGGACATCAACACGATCAGCAACCGACAGGGCGATTTAAAAGAAGAGAAATATCGCGTGCGAGCGGAGAAGAAGCAGCTGCAGATTCAGCTGGATAAAGATGAGCATCTAGACTTTGGGTTTGAAGCTGGACGGAGGATGGAGACTAAGCGTCAACGGCGGGAGTAGTCTCCGGATGGCACGGACCTACCCCCGACGCACGCTTGGTGGTGTTGATAATTGCATGTTTGATGGTTGGTTAGAGAAATGGCGGGGTTAGATCCTGCGTTCTTTTTGCATGACCTGGGAGGAGCAAGGGATGACTAGCTGCAGATGGACGTGGCCCGAGGAGGATACCCAGGTAGCTCAAGTTACCTAGGTACCAGTAGAGACGAATTGATCGTGTGTACAGAAGTAGAACTGGTAACAGATAGAGTCTCTACAACATCCTCAATGCTTTGATTCAAATTAATTGGCAACATGTCGATGGAAAGGGGGAGAAACTGAAGGAGCTGTGAATTGAGTTTCAGGAGTCCTGAATCAGCTAGTGGCCCCCGCAACTTCGATGACGCATGACGTAATCAGTAAATGCCCCAACGGTAAAACTCTTGGCTCCCCAACGTAAATTCGCGTCGCGTCCTCGCGATCGAATACCACCTCAACCGCTTCCGGTGCGTACGAAGAACGTAAACCTGGGTCTTATCGATATCTGTGACCTACGCGAGATTGCGCTCACGCCAACCACGTCACGCATGTTCGAACACCTGCAGGTGTAAACGACCCACATCGCGCCAAGGGAAGAGCGGTCTGAACAACGATTGACACAATTTCTATTTTGTACTTTCCAATATATCTTATTGTACTCGAAGCTCTGATATCAAGACAACGTTATTCTTCAATCCTTCTACAAGCTTCCCGTACTTTGTCAGAGCCCGCACAGCCCTTTCCAGCCCCACAAACAAATCATGGATTGTTCCGACGGCTTCTCATTCAATGATCTCAATTGGATGAGACAAAACGAGATACCAAATACTGTGAAGACAGCGCTACTATATGGCGAGATCCGTGGAACGGGAGAGAAAGCCGATGTCTGGATCTACTTAGACAAGGCCACGACGTCCCTCATCTGGCAGATCTACTACCCCGAGGGTAACGCCAAGCCTCAAGTCATCACCGTTGAAGAGGCTCTGGAGAAAGCGAAACCCTGTGCCTGGTTCAAGCTTGCCACAACCCCGGAGAAGCTGGAGGCCTTGGCCACATACTATTTCGCGAGAAAGAAGTTGACGAAGAGATACCAACCGAAGCTCACGTTTGAACAAAACCGACTACTCAAAGCCATGCTCGGTAGTGAGGCTCCATCTAAGATCGTCAAACTACGAGTTCGTGTCCCCGAATATCTTGGTCGAGAACAATCACCAGAAGCCCTGGTTGAACCTCAACAACCTTCAGAGGTCGTTCCAAGTCAAAGAGCCCGCTCAAAGTCAACAATATCAGTCCATCAGCTACCCTCACCATGCAGCACTACCGACTACGACGCGAAGGTATGTTACGAAGGATACAGGTGTAACAAATTTCATCTAACAGCATACAGCGCGATGATGAATCACGAAGATTGAGTGGTGCTACTTTGATCGAACCACTCGACCCAATCGACCGCTACTTTGATCTCGAAGACCGAATGGAGACCGCCTGCACCAACATAAAGCGCCATAACAGCCGAATAGAGGACCTAAAGCGGAAGAGGTCGGAGATTGAGAAAGAAATCAATATGGAGGCGGAAGCTGTAGAGTTGCTCATCGCTGAGAGACATCAAGCCAAAGTCGCGAAGGACCGACTTTGGAATGTGTTGTCCAGGGAAGAGGCCTACGAGCTGGGTCGCCTCGACACCGCAAGAAAGATTGCCAGACTCGATTGAGCTCAAAGCCGATTCATGGCCTGATGTCGGCGTACTGCCATCTTTTGGAACGAACGATTTGGATGGAAGTGGATGCATCGCTCTACGAGTAATCACACAAGCCAGTCTACGACGACGAGTCGCCAGACCGGAACTCCAATCCTCTGCGATTGATACCCAGGCGCGAAGAACATCGCAATACCGGCCACCAGTTCTCTCAGATTTTACTTCGGAACTTCGTCTATTCGCGCAGATCTCGTCGCGTGGGTATCATTTGGGTTGCGGACGTCGTGGCTGGGACGTCGCTACATAACATCACAGTACTAGTGGACGGCAGCCAAACTATCACATTGCGCACTCATGTGAGTCACGGGTAGCAACGCGTGTAAAACTACTCGACCATACCTCTATCCTCGGTCATTACACACCACTACCCTCGCTGCCGAAACGAAAGCCTGCAGCGACCGGCAGTGCGAAACTCGCTCCATGACGAGGACCAACGATCGAATAGGCCGGAGCATTGCGCTATCAACAAATTCATCCTTAGAGGTCATTGAGGCGTCAGGATATCCATACACTCCTGATGATTGACAAGCATCAAATAGCGAAAGGCGAAGTCGCGGGGTAAGCATGCAGATGAGCTGCCTGGCAACACTCAGCGACGCGAAGCCAAGATATGCGCTTCAGACAACAAGCAGACCTACTAGTCCAGACCTCTGGAAGCCTGATGTTAGGAGCTGGAGGAGGAGTTTGAAGATGGAACGCGAGCGTTGTGGCGCTGTAGTTTGGACGCATGAATGAGGTAGGGCAGTTTCGAAACACACTACCGTGTGGAGTACAATACGATAGCTACCTCGTTACAGCAACCTGTTGAGTCTCCGTAGTCTGCAAACACCACGCTGTTCGTACTGCTACTGCTATCACAGTATCAAGAATGTCCCCGTCCAAGCCATTAACGCCGTACTAGCAAAGCGTACACTAGTCTTCCTCGCTGCTGTCGGTCTCAGACTTTGCACCCTTCTTTCCCCACTTCGACGCTTTCATCATCATCTCACCTCCAAGAACGAAGATAGCGCGCTCCTTCGGGGTGAGTGACGACTGAAGATGCTTCATTTCGACTCTAATGCGCCGGTTCTCTTCCTTCAACTCCCGCCCCTCCACCTGCATGTCGGCTAACTGAGTCTCAAGAGCTCTGATCTCATCCCGTACATCTTTCTGCTTCTCCTTGTTGACCATGATGTTTTCCTTGCACCTGCTCTTCTTATCGAGGGCTTCGCGATAGGCGTCGGCGAAGTCGGGGAAGTCAATGGACGATTGCGAGTTGGGGCTCTTCTCGACCTGGCAACCTGTTAGTATATAAAGGATTCTCGATGATGAGGTGAAACTTACAAGTGCCTCTGTAGACTGCCGGCGTGTTGACGAGGTATGCGAAGTGTCCATGGCGTCGCTATTGTCTGCCTCAACGGGGTCCGAGTGGATGAGGAAACCCTGGCCTGTGTTGACGATTGCTGAGGGCGAGGGTTGTGATGTAGCCGCCGAAGGAGTTGATCGTAGTGGTGGTGTGCTCGCAGTCGCTCGCTTCCTGGGTAGGTCCGGGGTCATGGTGCGAGCCCTCTTGAGAGAATCGCCTTCGGGGATAAACAAGCTCTGTTCTTTTGGTACTGCGGGAATCATAGAGGCCACAGGAGCGCGCTGAGGGGTAGGCTGCGGAGTGCGTCTAGCCTTGGCCAGTTTGACGGGGGGGCTGACCACTGCAGGCTGGCCGTTCACCTTCACCACCGAGCCCGCTCTTGATCCAGACCGAGAGACCGAACGCCTGGCACCGTCCACGTTCTGAGCGGACGAAACGCGCGTCCTCACCACCGAGCCATCTCCTTCTGGCCTAGACTGAGAGATAGAGGGCTTGGTACTGTACGCGTTCTGTGCAGCAGAGGCGCGTGACTTCTCCTTCTCAATGTTCGCGGCCACCTTTACAGCGTACTCTCCAGCCGTCTTGCATGCCGCAGTCAGCCAAGTGGTGAAGTAACCATTGACTATCCATGGCACTGGTGTATTAACGCCCTTGAAGATGAAGTAGTACTTGATCACTACGCGGAGCTGGTCCAAATCCATAGTGCCCGCTTTCTTGAGGCACTTGAACGCATTTGCCTCAAGAACAAGTCTGAAGAGGTCAGTACGTGTTCTACATTAGGCCATAAAGCAGGAATGACTTACCTCACCGCTTCCTCCGCGCTTATGCCTCCTCGGAGCTTGCCGAGACGGTCGAAGATGTTGAAGCGTTGCTCGGGGGAGCGGCCAGCGGCGTGGTCGTTCTGCAGCAGAATCCAAACCTGGCAATCTTTATCCTTCCCATCCTTGATGGTGCCGAAGAGCATACGAAATGGCATCATATTTGGACGCTCGTTCTTATGGTCAACGAAGGCGACAAGCCGGACCTTGGCGACAGGGAGATGATGGAGAAGTGGGACTCGGGCTTGGGTTTCGGCAAGGGCCGTATCGGCCGCACCTACTTGGTTTTCCATGGCCCTTGGAACCAATGCCGAGATTGAAGCAGGTGCTTTCGGTGTAAGGTAGCTGAGTTGGTTGTCGCGTCTTGTTTTGTGTTGATCCCGGCGTTTGCATTGTATGGATGGGGTTAGCGTGGCTCTAGCGCGCTTTCGATGGAGAAGGCGTAGCCTAGCCATGAGGTACGCAGGAGGTATTCGCTGTATTTATTTGAGCTTTTGTTTCTGTAGACGACATTGAGTACCTCCTGGGTACAGTTCATGCTGGTGCAACTCTGCGAACATACTCTATCAGTACCTGAGTACCTGGGAGCTTTCCATTACCAGACACACTGTTGAGCATGTCGCAGTAAGCGCATCAGCGCTGTGAGGTCTTCTTATTAGACGTATGAAGACCCATCTCCTACGGAGTCTGTAGGCTTGATCTGTGCGTCGATTATACCACTAGCGTTCAGTCGGCTCTGATTTTGCATTTGCTCTCGCCTTCCCAGATATCAAAGTTCAACAATAGTACTGTATCGCCTGCCAATGACAACTGCAAAGAAGACTCAAGCGACACTGCCCTTACGATGGCAACGCTGCATCAACAGACTGAACGCCACGCTAGTGCGCCGCGGCTTGTTCACAGTCATAGAGGAAGTGCTCTCACCTGCTACACCCACATTCGACCAGGCAATTCTACAGGGACGCAAAGCTTTGAAAGCCCCACTCGGGGACCGAAAGCAGAGTGATGGTATAACAGTTCCCGTGTGGGCGCACATACTCCTCGATAGCAATGGAATTGAGCCATCGATCGTGTTTCGCGACGAGGTGCAGGTTCATTCGAACGGCGCGGAAACGGCTCAACTATACCCGCGATCTGCTTCGTCCTTATTGCGAAAAGCGAATCATCTTAAATCACCGTTCTGTCTCCTACATCAAGAAACAGACGAAGGTGTCAAGGATGGGCGCGGTATGCTTTGCGCAGTCATCGCCTACTACGCGCTGATAGCAGGGTTGAGCGACTGTGCCATCCGATGGCGTCGGTTTGACGCCTGTATGATTGCCGCCCTGGATTATATCAACATTACCCTGAAATGGATGAGCGAAATACAGCATGAGCCGACGCCCAGCACAGCGACAGCCATGAGACCTTCACTCATCGTGAGACTCCCAATAGGTCGAGAGGCTCTTGCAAAGATTACTGGAGTTTCCCACAGCTTCGAAGTTCCAGACAGCGAGGACGAAGAGGACATCATGCCTCCCGATGAAGACTTCCAAGAGCGGCCAGATAATCCAAATGCCACGCACCAACCCGTAGTCCCCGTTCTAGAAGAGGTACCAGACACCATCGACAACGCCTTCGGAGACGACGTGGCCGGCGTCGCAGAAGAAGTCGACAGCGTCATCGGGGATGCCAACGACAGTATCATTGTGGCAAATAGCAGATCCCAAGTACAGGAAAACGAGCAAGCATGCTATCCCTCGTTAACGATCAGGAAGCGCAAGCTAGGGGAGATTACGGCAGGAAGCGATGGCGATTTGGTCGAGGAGATGGATGGGCACGGTTGGCGGCAAGCTTCTTGGGGCCGATCGCGAAGGAGGTAGGGTGATTGAAGTTGAGAAATCAACAGGGTGATGCGGAAGGTCACATTGTACAGTAGAGTGCTCCAAGGTTGAGGTATCGTCACTTCGAAGTCGGGATGGCAGCGGCGAAGGCCGATTGCTAGGTTTCCCGCCCGGAGTTTCGCCGGTTGCTGGAGCTAAGCCCTTAATAAGCTAGCGCATTATGTGCAATCCATGCCAGCAAATGTGCACACACTTTGCCTCCATAACTACAGCTCGCTCCGCTCACCAGACGTCTCTCTACGCCCTTTCTCATTCCCTTCCAGCGCCACAACCGCCTCGTTACTTGCCTTCAAATGCTCAAACTTCGGTGCATCTTCTCCCAATCCCCATGCAAACACACCACCAAGCCCCTTGTCCTTCATGATGATCTGCATCTTGCGCTTAATAGCCTCAGGCGTATCCCAGGTCCAGAACAAGTTCTCCTCGGCATCCCAGTAGTACTGTCCACCACCCACCTCGTCATACACACCATTCTCCATCGCACGCTCGTACGATGCGGAAACTTCTCCAGGAACGGCGTCGTGCCATGAGAATGCGCCGGCTTTACCTAGATCAGCACCTGTCACAGGGTCTTCCATGAGTTCTGTCGCGCAGCCGATGGGGTTGACACTGCATGTCGAATTCGCAGCGGTCTTGTACCATTTGATATAGTATGCCAGTCCCAGGTTCGCCTTCTCGGGCGGTACACCGGCGTCGAGATACGCATCGATGGCTTCGAGCGAGTTATGGATTCCAGTGTGATGTTTTGTTACGTTGTCGCGGCGGTTGAACATGTCGTATGTCATGATGTTGAGGTAGTCGACTGACTCCATGATGGCAGGGATAGTAGAAGGCGTGAAGGCTAGCATGTCGCGTGGTAGACCGGGAACGGCTGCTGATATGGTCTTCTCAGGTCCTACTGCTGAGCGGATTTCCGCCAGTAGCTTGGGGTAAGCAACTATCTCCCAAGCTTTATTGGAGTTGAGATGGCCAGGTGTTTTGTAGTCTTCGCCGTTGCCGCCTGGGTATTCCCAATCCATGTCGATGCCTGTTCTGCTTAGCAAATATCTCTAACGTGGAGACCATAGGATCCAACGCACCGTCGGCACCGGTCGCGTCGAGCATAGCTTTGACGTTGCTAGCGAATAGCTTCCGGCTTTCTTCCGTTCTGGCGGCTGTCGAGAAGCCATCCGTATCGCCCCATCCGCCAATCGCGACTTGGATGATTGCTCCATCCGCAAACTTGGGCCGGACTTCTTCAATGGTAGTGAAGAGCGGCCATTCATCTTGGTCTCGAGTGTTGAACGTGTCGGAACGCATAAAGGCAAGGGCTACATCAGTAATGTTTGACACCAGATTTTCCTCTGGTACCACATCATGCTGCCTAATAGGCATTAGTAATGTTGGCTCACGTAGGAGTTGCGGGCTGTGACTTTACCCTGTTAGGTACATGATGTACTTCAGCCTCGTCGTGGTGGCCGCTGCAGCAGCGAACGTCCAGGCTAGACAAAGCCATAGCCAGTTATGTGTAGCCATGTTTCACGACTCGTTCGAAGGACAAGATCTCACGAGCTCTTCAGGATGGCACTAAGACGTGTTCATGCGTGGTGTTGTAGTACTAGTGCCCGATGGCGTTCACTGGAGTCCCGAAGATGCCCCGCAATTGATTAGGCCAATCACGGACTAGCGTCTTTGGTCGACCGTTGTACCCAGGTAGTGCCCGGCAGTCGCGTCTCGTCGAAGGTCAACCCCGAAAGGCCTCGGCCATCGCAACGGCAAAGCCTACGGCAGCCTTGAACGGAGCTGCATCGGATTTCACGGAGTGTCATGAGCTGACAACTGCTTATTGTGGCTTGACCCGCTGTCACTGGACTGCGGCTGGAGACGTTGCGCGATTGGTAGGAAGAAGCCAAGAGCTTCAGCCTTCCGGTTGGAGTGTCATCCGCGCATTTCACCTTCAGCCTTGTCGGTCAACTTAAAGAGACCTGCGACCTCTCGGCCTACATTCTCTCCCCAACATTTCGTGCACCTTCCCATGAGCGTGTGCTCATACCAACGACACAATGGGGGCAACCATGTCGAAGAACGCTACTTTCAGGTCTCAGTCGCCATACGAAGCTCTCCCATTATCGCACGGAGAGATACGCGTTCTTGAAGTCGCGCCTAGCCGCGGCCGCGGCATCGTCAAGTGTACGATGAAACGCATCTCGCTCATCAACAATCCTGTGCCAATTTATGAAACCATCTCATACTGCTGGGGGCCTCTTCGAGCTCAGTCTACCATGAGGCTTAACGGACATCGGATACGCGTGCCAGCAAGCTCAGAGGCCGCTGTTAGGCGCATGCGACTCAGCGACCGACCGCGAGTACTTTGGATCGATGCCATATGTATCGATCAGTCATCGACGACAGAACGCAGTGCACAAGTAGCTTTCATGGCGACTGTATACAGCACCGCAAAGCACAACCTCATTTACCTTGGCGAAGATGACGACGACATGGCTGATAGAGGTATGGAGGCTCTCCAGGACGTTGTGAACGACATGCGTGCCGTGACTGCAGACTTCACCCAATTATTGCAAACCATCTTCAATCACGAAACGGGCGCCAGATTATACTCGAATGAACCGTTCAACACGAGTGTTGACTTCGTCGCTCTTGAAGCTCTATTCGGTCACCTTTGGTTCAGGTAAGATTGCACGCCGACTATCTCACGTCGAGTTGAACTCAGCGAATATAGACGTCTGTGGGTGCTTCAAGAAGCGGTTCTTGCATCATCCAACACCTGCCATTGGGGCAGTGTTACTTTCGACCTTATCGATACAGTACGAGCTGCAGCATGGCTCGTGTACAGATATCGATTCGTTCCTGGTAGTCTTTGCCATGGCGTTGGCTTGAGCTGTGCCTGCCAGATGTTCGACATCATCTTCCCCATCCCTATCCCTGGGCTCGTTTCGAGGCGCAGATATCTAGCCACTATGTTCGTGACCATTCAACAATTCGAAAGCACTGAGCCAAAAGATAGCATCTTTGCCATTCTGGGCTTACTGGACAAACACATGTCTCTGGAAAGCAGTCAAGCGGCATTACTTGAGGTTGACTATGCAAAATCGCTTGCTAGCATATTGCGAGATGCTACACGGTACTCTCTGTGTCAAAGAGGTGATCCAGACGCTTTAAGCCAGATCTATCACCGTTTCGATGTGTTAGACGATTGCCAATCGTTTCCGACATGGGCCATTCGCGCAGATCTGCAACGAGATGCTATGGACGCTTCCGATCTACCTAATTTTTACAATGCTAGCGGCGGTCTCGAGATGCAATCTTTACTTGATGATGTCTCTCTTGGCGAAGAAGTGCTGCTTCTCCAAGGAATAGTGGTCGATGAAGTATATCAAACGACTGTCTCGTGCGCAATAAGTACCTGGGAGAGGGACGAAGAGTTCCATGAGTGGCTGATCTCTGTCATGGGTACAGTTTTGCGCCACTGCAACGTCGCAAGTCGGGAAGAGCTCTATCTAGCCACGGCCTTTACTCTTGTGGCCGAAGAAACCTGGGATAGAGGACGCGCACAGTCGAGTGATCTACAGGGCCTTCTAGATTATCTCAAGAGCTTGACCCCGGACGATAATGATGAAGCCTCAAATGGCGACAGGATCACGAAAGGTTTTGACTCGGGAAATATGAACTCGATGCGTGGCGCTTCTTTCATGGAAAATTGTATACACCGCCGTTTCTTCGTTACCGGGGCTGGGCGCGTAGGTATAGGACCTCGTTGCATGCAACCCGAAGATATCGTTGTAGTCCTAAGGGGAGGGACAGAGCCTTTCATCTTGCGAAAGAAAATCGACGGTTACTGGCTCGTTGGCCAGGCTTACGTGCACGGCATCATGGACGGCGAGGCGGTGCAAATACACAAGGCTCGGGGCGGATTAGAGGAGGTGTTCCACATGCGGTGAATGCAACGTCTTTTTGCGGGAAGAGCTGGCGGAAGTACGGCTCTGGAAAGATGGAGTGACAAAGTGTACGAATAGCGCTATTTCTTCGAGAGCCATGCAGACTCTATCGCACACACCTAATGCGATGCTGAACTAAAGGTCCAGAGCGCGGAGCGCGGAGCTAAATCAAGAGAGGGAATCTCGTGTCGAAGTCTTGGTCGAAGCAGTGCGGAGGGAGGAAGTTGGATGACAACCACCGTTACCGGTTATCCACCTCCCAGTGTACCTTACCAAGAGTCCTCACGAGAAGACCATCCAGGCTCGAGCGCGCAAACAAGAAGAGATCCGATCCAAGTACTAAAAAAAGAGCGTAAACATTCAACAGCGGGGATGCCCCAGTGCTTACCCACCTGAATCCGAATACGCCGGTACGATGCCGGGCTTTCAAGATTTTGCATTGACGACATCATCGAAACGGTTGTTCAAGCATTGCTGCAAATACTGCCAGCGCTGCTGGAACCCACCTTTACGAGCGAGAAGTAACATCGTCGTGTGATCTTCCATCGTATTCGACTGGAGGCGACCACATCTGTCTCCCAACGCGAATGTCTACACCGTTAGTTTCCAAGGGCATATCCTCGGCATGAATGTTTTCTGGAGACGACATTGCTGTGTCTATTTCGAGCGCATGCCGGCCGAGGCCGCCACCAATCAGAGATCGACAAGGGGCTGCGCTTTCCTCCTTTCGGCTACCTGCCAAGGGCTTCGGCCCTATGCCGTGGCAATTATGCGTCATTTCCGCCCAAAACCTTCTAGACGGTCATGGGAGGGGGCGCGCCACAGCCGGTGCTTGCCATTGCGCAGGGTCACAAAACTGGGGATACGATAATTACCCGACTGGATGAAGTCATAGCGTTGCACTTTGGTCGTCGGCGCCGAGGGTGGACACCCTTCAGCCTCGTTGAGGACAGGCATGATGTACGACAAGGGAGGAAATACGAGATTGCATTCGAATATAAGAGAGATGGGATGCTGCTCTCTGTAAGCCATCATCCAAACATCAACTCATCAACTCTACACTAATACTTAATCAACACAACTACCTCTTCCACACTCCAACAACACCACCTCAAACCATCAACATGAAGTTCACCGCCGCCGCCGCCATCGCCTCCATGGCCGCCATCTCCTCCGCCCTTCCCCAGGCGTCCGTCTTCCCTCGCCCCGAGGCCGGCGACATCTTCCGTCTGATGTCCCTGCGCTCTGCCACTCCCATCCAATACGGCAACGTCCAGGCCGCCAACGGCAGCCTCCTCATCAACACCCCCTCCGAGAACAACAAGACCTGCGCCGTCAACGGCGACCGCGAGAACGTCACCAACGGCATCAACTACGCCTCCTTCTCGCTCGACGAGGAGACCGGCAGCGTCTACATCTACACCTTCAACCCCCCTCTCCAGCTCTACGTCGACCGCAGCGGCATGGGCCAGGGCAACGTCCGCTACTCCACTGGTGTCCAGCCCATTGGCAAGAACCAGGAGCGCGGCCCCTTCAAGATCAACGACGACGGTGACCTTGTCTTCGCTGCTGGTGGTCTCTCCGGCGACATTGGCTTCCAGGCCTGCCCCGGCGCTGTTGGCGGTGGCTGGAAGATCTGGCTCTCCGGCACTGAGAAGCCTGCTGGCTCTGAGGGCTGCACTCCCTTCACCATGAAGGCCCTCAAGGAGGAGACCACCTACAAGTGCCTCTACTCTTCTTAGATGCTGAGTTGGTAGATGCTGAGCTGGTGGAGATCGTTCGATATTGTACATATTATCATCGCATTTGAGCGTTTGCATAGCTTCTTGTTTATAGACTGATGGAATTGGAAATGATAATGTTCATCTACACAACGCGTTGCTCCTGCTGTACATCGTGACCTTTACTTAGAAGCTTCATGTGGTGAGGCATGCTGGGAGGGTGGCTCGGCGCAACGCACGGCCAGACTCCATAACTTTATTACAGACGGAGCGCTTCTCGGAGTCTCTAAGATTGCACCAGCATGGATGTCAACAACGGCAGGCAATGGAAGCTTTCGCGAGCACATGAGCCTGCGAGGTAGCTGCCGGCTTTGGTGAGATGTATCGATCTACACTGTAAAATCAATTCCCTCTCATCCAAGGATGCCCACGCAACTCCTTCGCAGTCCACCGATCCTCCGGCCTCCACTGCAACATGCACCTCACAAACCGCAGAAACTGCTCTTTCTTCTCCCCATCCAGATTATCTTCCGACGCCTCTAGTGTCAAGCCTCGCGGTATGTCTATCTCGGCTATCCAATTCCCATCACCATCGAAGAACTCTTTGCTCCGCGCTCCTCTCTTCAGCAGATCCATCGGTGGCGGGCCGAGCATCGCGACTACTTCCGCGAGATGGGAAAGGCGTGAAGACGAAAGGGATCTAAAGCAAGGGTCTGGGTGATGTATGAACAGCGTGGAGGTATGGCCGTGAGTGAACCCTTGTTTGTCTGCGAAATTCGGGTACTTGCACTGACATGAAGGAAGCCGTATCTGCGCAAAGATCCTTTTAACTTCACGCCTGATCTGCTCACTTTCCTTGTTGAACTGTCTTTCCACTTTTTTCTCTTCTTAATGCCAGTTTCCCTGTATTTTTTCATAGTGGGATTGTGCTGCGGAGTATAAGTATGAGAGGTCGGTTAGTTTGTGTGAAGGGGTGTTGAGGTGCGTGATTACAGCGTCAAGACCCTGATCCGGAGGATTTAGGTGTTCTCGACATCAGTATAGTACCCTGATACTCAAAGCAGGCGGTCGACGTGTAAGGAATGAGGTGAGGATGATCTATTGAGTGGCAGAGAGGGGGGTTGTAAAGACGGGTTCTGCACTGCCATAGTACTGAGGGGAGACGTTTCCTCCTTCTTCATCTCAGTAGCCAACACTGAACTCCTATCTTTTGTACCCTACAGCACAACGGGATAGGAAACGACGAGACATCGTGTCACATCACCCTACCACTTCTCTCGTCACAAGCACTGCACTCACTCGTGAGTCAGTGAGCGAGCAACCATGCCCCGACGCAACACCTCCAAGTTCCGAGCCGCCGCAGAAGAAGACTTCGCATTCCCCGCCACGCCATCCGCATCTTCGCCCGGTCTACCCAGCACCAACACCACCAACTACACCTACACTCCCTCCCCATGGCCATCTCCATCCTCCTCTTCAACCTCCATCCCCACCCCCTCCCATTTCCACGACGCCCCCGAAACCCCCACATCCTCACCACCCCCACCCTTCCCTAGCAACACCAAACCCTCCAACACCTCCGCGTCCAAAGGAAAGCAACTAGCACCAGCTTCTCCACCAACGCCGTCCCGCCTCCCCAGAACAGTCAACATCAACGTCAAGCCCACTCCGAACACAAGCCCCAGCACAAGCCAGAGCAACCTCCTCTCTTCCCGCATCGCGTCCTACGAAGCACGCACCGCGTCTGCGCGCTCACCCACGCGCGGTGCGGCAAAGGGGCGGAGCACGTCTGTGGATCCGACGTTGATGGGGTTTGGCAAGTATTATGATGCTGCTACGAAGAAGTTTTGCGTTGGGGATGATGAGGGCGGTGCTGAGCCGATGGAAGAAGAGAGTGAGGATCTGGGGGAGAGGCGGGGACGCAGTCAGACTATGATACGTAATACGGTAGAAGAAGAGGAGGACGATGCTGTGTTGTCGAGGATACCATCTGTGGCTTGGCCTCCGGGTGTATTTCCTCCGAGTTCCGAAGCGGGCAATCGACGTGATGCAAGGCTTTGGGATGGGCAGAAGGAGAGTATCGTTGCAGTCAGTCCCTCTGTCGCGCCATCTGATTCCTGGCTCGCGGCGCCCGATGCCGGGCAGGAAGAGGAGGCGAGAGAGTATTGGGATGGCGTGTTAGCCCATGTGAACGAGGCGGGTGATGATGCGCTTCGGGAGAAGAAGCAAGGTACGTCCTATCGCATCCCTCCTCCATGTATACTTCCAGTGTGACGATACTGACGAACGCCATCTCACAGTCCTGGGCTACCCCTCCGACAACATGGACTACCACCGCAGCAAGATGCCCGCCCGCAACGAACACAGCGAGCCAACCGAGTTCTCGGAGCGGAAAGCCAACAGAGACAAAGTCATGCAGGTTTTTATCAACAGCGTGTACCCCAAGCACAAAGTCGAAGGCGGATTCTTCGACAACACCGAGGTCTTGAACGAGGATCGCAGGAAGCGGGCAATCTGTATCGACGACCCAGATGTCGATGCATCTCCGCCGCCCACAGATGACCACTGCGAGTACGTTACGTTGCCGCTGCACGAGCGACTGAGGAACAAGCTGCCTTCGCCAAGCATCTTCACGTCCTGGACGTACCGGTCAAAGTACCACGAGCTTCGAGCTGTTGAGATGGCTAGTATGAGCCAAGATCTGCCGCTCAAAGACGACTCGCTCAAAGCAAGAGGCATGCACTACGACAACAACAGAGCGGTGCTCGAGGCGGCGCTGGAGGAAGACAGGATCTTGAGGAAAGAGCCACATGTCGTCGATGCGCTCAGGTGCCACTACGGCCACAACCTCAAGGCACCGGGAAACATGTCGTGTGGAACGCATCATCCGCGAATGATATCCGATGTCGACACGATGCAGTACTTGCTCCTCGGGCAGCAGGAGCTGAGACGCGATATCGAGCGCCTCGAGTGCGTGAGGCGTGCTGTAGGCACCTCCATCTCGACGGTGCGTTCACTGCCGACCCGGTACCGTGGGCAAGCCAGCGGAAAGGTCTTGGAAAGAAAGACGCTAGAAGACGAACTTAACGACCTCGCGAAAAAGGCATTGATGGTGGACGACGACATGTCCGATGTGCCCGTGGATGAGCCGCTTCCAGTCCAACCTGAGCAGTACCGCACCTCAACCAGCCTCGATACCATTGTGGAGAGTCCGCCCAGAGCCCGTAGCTTGAGCATTGGGACGGCACTCTATGTGACTGAAGAGTCTACCCCTTTCGTCGAGCAGCCGAGGCCGCGTCAACACGTTACGTCGAGATCATCCTCAGTATACAGCGGCGGTGCTGCAAAGACGAAGAGAAGTGTTTCCATCCCACCCGCTCTGCCTAGGCAATCAGAGAACAGCGACGCCGGAGGTGTTCAGCCCCGGGAAAAGGATCGTGCTTCTCATAGAATTATGCAGAGCATCCGATCATTCCACAACCGCAGTCGGTCACGTCATGCGTCATCATCCGGTAACGAGTCGAGTCGTACCGGAAGACGCGAAGAACGTGGGAGAAGGGAGGGTGTTGTCACCAGTCCGACTCGGCACGACGAGGAGAGATATCCCAAACGCCAGAACATTGTGCAGCAGTGAGTGATGGACGTGTTCCACTACCTGGCCGCTTTCATCTCGGCAGACTTTTTGGAAGACTCTTTCGGTGGTTTTTGTACTGCGTTGACATCCGGAAGGCAGAATGGCAGTCGATTCGATGAATGGCGCACACATGTAGTGGCACTTCTGACGGATCTTCAAGTTGAAATGAGGATGGCGCATGGCTCCGTCGTTGGCGGAGCAGTTGTTGTCAAACATGGGTTGGAGCTTGACCGTACTCAGACGTCCCTTTCAGTAGACTTCCGTCATGGTCAGAGGGCGATTATGGTCAATTCAGCCTTAGTCTGCGCCCATCTGTTAGTATCTAATCCTCTGAATCCGACCACAAACATACAAATCACATCTTGCCAATATCCTGTTGCCTGTCTTTGTGCGAAAGCCTCCGACTTGAGGACCGAAGTTGGTCCTAACCCAGGATGTCATCGCTTTGATGTGAGAGGTATTGTCCTTAGTCATGGCATCGTCAGTTGGCAGCGAGGGAACCGAGACATCAAGCCCCAATGAAGCCATGTAGGTGAGTTGTATCAGCACGTCTTGTGATGCTGACAAGCAGCCCCAACCCAGACGACTTTGTCAACCACAGGATGCCGACCATAGTAAGCGCATCGATCCACCGAATGCGTGTGGTAGATACATCCACAAACAGGAAACTTCTCGACTACTCGAATACACATACTGTGGGGCTGGTGTTCGGACCGATGATGGTGTCGTCTTGAAACAAGTTCGCGCAAGGTACGTGGAAGGGAATGAAAAGACACATGAGTGTTCCAAGATATCGAAATGACGGCATATAAAGGGAGTTGTTGACCCTCTGGACAGGTCGCAACATCCGCGACGAGCCTGCTCTGTAGACACCGTCTCGAAGCCCGGGACTAGTGGGATACGATCCTTGCCTGGTGTGAAGCATAACGGCTGTTCTTCCTCTGACGCGCTTAGCGGCCATGTCAAAAGAAGCTGATCAGCGTCGTCAAATCATCGAAGATAGTTGCGAGAAACAGTCTCATTGGTGCCGTGACACTCTTCCACCGGCCGCAGACACCCGCATACGAGCAAGGAGGAAGACGGCGGACACGAAGCCACAGAGCAAAGCCTCGTAGTTGACGTCCAGGTATATTTCTTGGCTACCGAATGACAGTCCAGGGACGCCTGCTGGGATCCTGGTGATGTCTTACCGGCGCACATGGCTCCGCGGTCACAGGACGGCTGGGGCTTGTGGTTCGTCCGGAGGGAGCTGAGCTGAGATTAGATGACCAGAAGGCAGCAACGGAAGTGCGCTACCGGCGGCATCCGTGCTGTGAGCACGGGCTGACGACGATGCTTCTCTCGTTACCAGAGGAAAGTGCCGATGCTAAAACAGACATTCCGGTGCCCAAAGTGCGCGGCGTGCAGATGCATGCGGAGTAGTGGCAAGAAGGATTCGTACGTCTTTCGATCAACATCCTTGTGGATGGGTAACAAGCTTCGTGGTGTCGTGTGTGTGCAGGGGGTGACGATGTCAGACGCGACGGAAGTGGCATGAAGCACTGACCACCCGACGTCAGCCCTAACTTCTCTTACTAAGCGAAGAACTACCTTGGTAACTCCAACACTTCCGAGGTCATCCATCACATTGTTCTTCATCTATAATCCTGAGATGCCGTGTCTACCTCCGCCGCGTCATCAGTTGCTAGAAGCTTCTGGAGGATGCAGCTGGGAGGCAGTTAGTAATGGAGGAAGCAGCGATGCCCTCCTCTCCGCGTTTTGTAGTCGCCAGGAGGGCTAGAAACTGGCATTACTATCCACGGTATATCTAGTAAAAGAGTTGTCAACAATAGCATTGATGTAGTCGGTACGGGGACTTATAGAGCAAACCTTGCCTGCTGATCTGCGAAGTATGTACGTACGTTCAACTATTGCTTTTGCGACTAAATACTCGAGAAGCGGATAAATTACAGAAACATCTATTCGTAAATTCGTAAACCCCATCCTGTCATCTCAGACCAGCTGCTCTTTCTCCCCCAGCCGACTAGTACACATGCCGCCACCCCCTCTCAACACCAGTATGCTCACTCCACCCCTCCGCCTCATCCAACCTCCTATTCAAACTCTTCGCCCTCATCTTAACCAGCGTAGCACTAACAACACAAGCCGCACACCCAAACAGAATCAACCCCCCACCCAACCGATAAAATGGCTCCTGACTCGTCGGAAAGAAGTACGGGCTAAACCAATGACTAGTCTGACTAATGCAATTCGCAATCGCAATGAGCGCCGCCTTCTTGCTCCTAGGCGCGGGGACAAGCGTCGTCTCCCAGCTCAATTGCAGGTTGAGGCCGGAGTAGGTGCCGCTGATGAGCAGGATGAGACCGACGTAGCGGGCGCCGATGTTGAGGGTGCCGATGAGGGCGGCGCAGCCGACTGCGGACATGACGATGGGGAGCACGATGTGGTAGTAGGATTCTTGGAAGCGGCCGGATGTGTATGCCATTCCGCAGGCGAAGGCATAGGCGATGGCGTAGGGGGGAGCTTGGACGAGGTAGGTGGTTAGTTCGTCGAAGTGGAATGTCTTCATGATCTGTTTTCTTGGAGTTAGCACGCGGGGAATAAGTAGCACAGTGGTGCTGGACATGGGGACGTACCGATGGCAGGAAGTCCTTGAAGCTTTGCGCTGTTACGAGGGCGAAGTGCATGAGGCAGAAGTACCAGGTAAATGGATCTGCGGCTGCAGCCTTGACACCATCCCATGTGCCGCCGATGCCCTCGTCATGGCCGCCGTTGGACACTTGAACGCGGTACATGGCCATTTCGCTCTCTTCCGGGGTCAGCCATTTGGTGTTGTGCGGCCACGATGGAAGCAGGAAGTAGGCACCAGCGGCCACAAGAATAGATGCAGCGCCTTCGATGATGAAGAACCATTGCCATGCGTGGAGTCCGAGAACCTCGTCCATGTTTGTCAAGATGCCGGCAGCCAAGAACCCAGACAAGATATTCGACATAGTATTTCCGGCATGCCAGATAGCCATGCGCATGGGGTTCTCCTCTTTGGTGTACCACGACGATGTCACTATTTCTTGTGAGTTCTAGCTCGTAGGATATGGGCCTAATGCACAAGAACATACTCAGCGTGATACCGGGGAAGAAAGGCGCCTCGGACAAGCCGATGAAGAAGCGACACACGGCGAAGCCAGCTCCGCTGGTCATTGCCGGCATGCAGATGGTGGCAGTACTCCATGCCATCATCATGGACGGCAAAAGCCATCTTGGGTCGGCCTTTGCGAGCCACAGGTTACCGGGAAGTTGGCCAACGAGATAGCCGACGTAGAAGGTTGACTAGAGGTACAAGGTCAGCACAAGCTCTCGAGATCATCATGTGTAGGAGTAAGCCTGAGGAGGTGGAAACAACATACTATACCCGTATTCCAAATAGTGTCGCTCATGTGCAAGTCCTTTTGTAGCCCAGCCAGGCGTGCGTTCGACACATTGATGCGATCGAGATAGCTAGGTCTGGTAAGCACAACGATGCAAGAGTACGCTTCGAAAATCTTACTTCATGAGAAACATGAGTGTGATGCATGGCATGAGTCTCCAATCAAGTCGCTTGACAAGTCTCTTGTTCAACGCATCCATTTCTTCCTGGCTCAAATCTCTCAATGTTTCAAAGCGAGCCTGAATCTGCTGCGGTGTGATGGGTCCAGATTCTGGAGCTACCTCCTTGAACTCAGCACCTGCCATCTTCTCGTCGATGCTCGTCATCTTCTCGTCGGTGTTCGTCATGTTGCTGGATCGAGTGCGCTGATGACCGAGCTGTGAATTGGTGATGCATCTTCACGACACCCACCTCGTCGTTATATAGACAATCGGCCATTTGAAAAGCCTTTGCACGATTGGCCGCGGGCTATCTCACGGATTCAGTTGCCAAAGGCGTCTAGCAAGCATACCAAGGGTCTAGAGAGGAGGCTAAGAACGTAGACAGGCCTGGGGAATGCGGGGCCCCAGGAAACGGCGAACCATGGCAGTGGATATGCGCCACTGTCAGTCCCCGTTTGGCAACTAAGGCTGGTTCCAAGAAGCTAGAGCGAGGGGACGCCGGTACGCGAAGGATCTCGGAGCGTTGTTGACACGCCACCTGGGCATGCCTCGAAGCGAGCCCTTCCAAGGTTCCTTCCCGCGGGTAAGTCGAAGCCGCATGCGTTGCCGCGGGATGTGTAGCCATGCCGTCCCGCGGCTGGACTGTAGACTGCGATTTTCGTGAGGTCGCCCTCGCATGACATTGCCGCGGGAGATTGCAGAGCAGAAGATGCGCCGTTGACCACGTGCGATGAACGACGTTGTACCAGCCCGTCGGTTATCGGACCAGATAAGGCGCCCAAAGTGCCCCACCCTAGCACGTCGGATGGTGCACAGTCAGGATTACTTTGATCTACTATCACAATACAATACAACACAACGCAACTACTCCGTTGAAAGTCATTCAAGCTATGCAGCCTATCGCGTCTATCCACAGTTGTTTGATCATGATGTCATGTAGTCTTCAATTTGAGTTCAGCGGCATGCGCTTTGATAGAGACAACGGTGATAGTAATAGTAATAGTATCTATCGTAACACTAGGACATGGAGCAAAGCCAGATTCTATGAGGATATGAATCAACGCCACTGAAAACACCCAACGTCTATAATGAAGACGGAGTCATGAGAGCTGCAAGCTTCTCATATACAGTAAAGACTATGCCACCACTGAAGACCAATCGGCCCAGTCGCATGGTGCTGCCACTCCAGAAACCGCGTACACCAGCATGTTGCATGACGCTCCAAAAGGCCTCCATTGTACTCGCGCCTTGTGCACTTTGTGCGCGCGTCTTGATGGTATCGAAAGGCTGTGTTGCATAGACAGTAACGGTGCCGGCTATGGCACCTAGACCAAATGTGACGAAGCTGTTCTGCGGTAGATTCTTTTGGCGCGCGACATCCTTCAAGACGTTGTAGGAGCCCATGCGGACGGCAGAGGTGGCCGACTGCTTCATGGTAGTGGACACGAGCCCGCGATACAGGCCAGGTAGGCCGTGGGTGTGGAGGATCATCTGTGTGGCGTGGAGGCCCCCGCGATAGCGCGCGGCACTGGTGCTCTTCGCGTTGTCGATCAGGGCCGTCTTGACGCGCTCCGTGGGCGTGACAGCGACGATGCTCTCGACGCTGCCGGCCAGCATTCCTGCCAGCACGCCGCGCGCGGGAGACAGTACGCCCTGCTCGTCGGCGAGGCGGTTGCGAATAGAGTCGAAGGAGAGGAAGCGCACGCCGGCTTTGAAGGCGGTGCCCACTATCAGCGTGGAGCAGCCTGTGTAGATGGCGCCGATGCCATGGGTGCGGGCGACGTGAGCGACCACAGCGAAGGGGTTCTTGGAGCCACCGCTGCCGGCCTGCAGTTGGGCGCGCGTCTTGGCAAACTCAAAGGGATAGGTTGCTGTGGCTTCGACGCCGCCCGCGACGGCACCGGATAGCAGAGAGACCAGGGCGATTGGGGTCTGCTTCTTCGCAGCTGAGGAGGCACGTGACTTGGCGGATGCAGGCGCGGGCGACAGGGCGCCGACGTCGACGCTGGGGGGTGCGAGTGTTGCGCTCATGGTGTGCGATGCCGGCCCCGAACAGCCATGTTGCTATCTATATCTTCACACTCCCGTCATTATTCCCGTCATCACGACTACCCGTCTGGCCTACCATGAGCGACCGCGGTACTGATGGCTACCCGTCTGGACGGGCCGGACACGCAAACGGGTGGCCGAGTCATGCACATTCTGCCGCAGGAGGAACGTAAGTCACGACAAAAGCGAGTGCAGCGACGTGTGAGACAAAGTGCAGTGTGGAGCGGCCCACGTGCGTCTGCGTTTCTAACAACCTTGGGAGAGACTAGAGGCGGGGCCTAGGCAGAGCCTATCACGCAACGTTGTAATAGCATGCTAGGTCATGAACCAATATGCCGCTCCGGGAGACGGACCCCGATTTCGAACGTGAACTCTTCGAACAAGTCAAAGCAGCCTTCAACGAAAAGTACGGGTGTTTACAATACTGGCTCCCACTACCGCTCATCCTCGTCGATGAACAAGCAGACCCACCACTGCCATGCCATGAACCTGCAGAGGACACCCTCGCCATCAGCGCCCACGTATCAGTACGCATCCACGCCCTTTATAAGCAGATTGCCGCCGCATATGCGTTAGTCAGGAACCCGCCCACCAGCATCCCCCTCAGACTCGAAATCGAGACTCAAAAGTACGACACAGACGACCTAGAATATCTGGTATGCTACCATCGCAGACATCACTCGCACCGCCTGCAGCTGCACAACCCGGAAAAACTACCCGATCTACCCTTCATAAGCAGCCTATCCATCAGATCAAGTTGCGGTTCCGACGCCGACACCGCGAGAGACATACGCCCTCTATCTCCCCTCGGACCACTGCAATGCCTCGTTCACCTGCCAGCAGTGCAAGAATGGACCGCCCGCTGGTTATGGGAAAGACCCATGCCTTCCGCCCTTTCGAGTAGGGTGATGCGCGAGCATTGGACCTGGCCGTGGGAAGGTCCCTTACGAGACGCTCGTCACGAGTTCGGCGCTGCCATCATAGACCAGGAGAAGTACCTTTGCGGCAGAAGGATCCCCGCCAGCCTGACCAGAGCCGCACTGCATTTCTACCCTTTCTTCTCACTCCCTAAACACGATCAGTCGATAGCCCGGCCCAACCTGATCCACCCCGCAGACAAAGACCCAGTGTCCATCGGCCTGCGCAACCTCGGTACACAACTAAGCATATTCGACATCCGTGCCATGGTGACTCCACACCTCTTCCCCAGCCCCGACGCACCAACCCCGCAGCAATGGTCATATATGCGGCGCTTCAGACTCGAGTTCCATCCCTTGCGTCCAGACGGGCGGTGGTACTTCATCGGCCCCCGAGGCGAGGATCCTCACGACTTTAAACAAGGAGGCTATAAGATCTCAGACACAGAACACTACCCCCGCGAGATCGATCCAGATGAGTGCGGAGACCTCCGTGCGCAGTATGACTACGAAGTCACCGATGGGCCCGAATACGATGTAGACATGTTCCGCGTCCAGCCCTGTAGAGAGCGCATCGAGCCGCTGCTTGCGGCGTTTGCGACGTCGCTGACTCGCGACAATATGCCGGATCTTGAGGACGCGGAGATGTTCACGCACTTGTGGTGGCGTCCTAGAGACGAAAGGGAAGTGGAGGAGTATGGTCTAAGGATGAAGAAGGGGCATAGATGGGGTGTCAAGTTCATTGCTGGGCGTGGTGGTAAAGAGCGGACTGACGGCGATGTTGCTGCTACGGCACCAAGACCACCGGTGGTGCAGTGGCAGGTTGGCGACTGGAGACCCAGCGAGAAGGTCATGAGTTTGTTTGAAAGACTTGGACAGCAGGAGTGGCTCGATCTCGAGTGGAATAGGTATAGAGATACGGCGGTGCACGACCTGCTGGGCAACAGCCAGTCCCCACCTATATAGTCGGGCACACATAATAACGAATAATCTCTACATCCGGATCGACTTCAGCTAGGAATTGGGGCAGGACTTGAGAAGACCTCTCAGTAAATCACCACATCTCCAACAACACTAGCAAACGCGAACATGTGAAGAAGTGGGGTATCTAGCATTCCTTCCTCACACTACGAAGAGTAAAGAAAAAGAAGAACACACGACCTGTGCATACATGCAACGAAGAACACAGCCGTAAGAAAAATGCCAGCGAAAAAGACGCGTGGCTGATAAAACACTCGATCCAGTCGTGACTGTCGTAATCCTCCACAATCAAATACAACATCCCATCCCATCCCGTCTCTGCTCCCATTTGTCTTTGTACAATCTCTCCTATTCACCCGTTTACCTTCTCCTCCTCTTCGCACTCCCGCCCCCACCTCCCGTTCCCCTCCTCGTCTCATCCTCCACCTCCTCCACCGTCGCCGCAGGACTAGTACTATTACTACTCCCCCCACTAGCCGTACTCTCAATCTTACCCACGCCATTCACATTCCCATTCCCATTCGCACCCGTCGCATCATCCACACCGAGCAACCCAGGATCCTCTCCACCAATCCCATTCGCTTCATCCGCAAAATCGAAACCAGCATCGCCGTTCGCGGGATCAACATCAAACGGCGTACTGGCATCGAATGTGAAATCAGGTAGACCACCACCGTTGGTATTGGTGTTGATGCCGTTAATCCCGTTTGTAGCTTTTTGATCGGGGGGATTCGCGTCTGCGGTGAAGAAATCGTCGTCGTTGACAAAGTGGCCCATGTTGAGGTCGAAACCACCGGGTTCGCCGAGGCCGCCGTCGTCGCCGGCTGCACCGCCGAAATACCCGTCGTTACCTTCGCCAAGTCCGGAGATCTGGCCTGTTGGGGATAGAGGCAGGATACGCTCGTGGATGTGTTGGATTTTGCTGTTTTGCTGGTCGGACAACTTTTGTAGCATTTCTAGTTGTTGCTGCGTCGCTTGGTACTGCGCTAGATCACCCAGCAAGCGGTCCATTTCAGGCGGATGCGGGTTGGTAAGCGCGTTGTTTGTGTTTTGAGCGGACGTGTTGTTTACGATCTGGGAGAGGACATCGTTGCGTTGTTGTGGGGTGAGAGGGACGTGACCGTCTTGAGTTTGGTAATTTGATAAAGCGGCGGCGTAGTCGAAGTCTGAAGGTGGGGGCTGCGAAGTGCCGGAGTGGTTGGTTGCTGTAGCGTTGGCGTTTTGGATGGCCGACATGATGGCGGAGTTGTCGGCTAGTGGGCCTAGGTTGGAGGCGGGGTCGGGCTTGACTTGGGAGGGGGTTATGCTGTCTCTGGCTTGTTGAGAAAATGGTGACGACTGGGACTGCTGGCGATTCATCGATACTGAGGGCCTGAACACTGATTGTCGACTGCCAGGCCGTGTGATGGGACTAGCGAGTGGCCGGGCTGTTGGGCTCATGGTCGTGGCGCGGCCTGTCGTCGTTGGAGCGAGGTAGTCCTGGTTCGGAGCTGGCGCTGGTAAAATGGCAAGCGGTTTCTTGTTCCTCTGCAATTGCGGCGACTTTTGTGCTTCCTGCATGGGATAGTCGTCGACGTCCACGACATTGCCGTGGTGTTGTTGTCGTGCCGCGGGGAACATGTCTGCCAGATTCATATTCGCATTACCCTCTAGACTCCTATTATAGAAGGTGGCGAGGAATGTCAAAATGGCATTGATAGAGTTCTCGTGGCGGTCGTGCAGCGCTTGGAAGGATGTCGCTCGTGAGTACAACTCCTCATTCTGGCGTTTGATCTGGGTAAGGACATTGGAGATGAGCTTTTGCTGTTGCTGGAGTTCCCTGACTTCAACCCGCAGGCTGTTGTACTCGGATCGCGGGATCATGGCCATCTGCTCGTTCCCTCTGACGGCTACTTCCTCAACATAGCCTCCGCCCCCTGTATCTTGAATGTACTTGCGGTCCTCATCACTATCGCCCTTGTTTTCTTCGTCCCGTTTCCGCTTAGGTCCGGTAACAGGATTCTTCGGCTTCTGGATCAGCCATAACAGCTCTTGTCGACCGCGCTTGAAGTACTTGTTGTAGTACTCGCTAGGTGCTTTCGCTTTTGTCTCGCTGGCTTTCATCGAATTGTCCGAGAGTCCCACCTTCTTGTGGAAGCCGTACATGTTCAGTTGGCGTACGAAGGATGCGTAGTTGTTGTGCTTGAAAAGCTCGGGTATCAGGGTCCTCGCAAATTCGTCCTCGTCAAGCACGATGAAGGAGTTGCCGTCGTCCGACCAGCGAATGAGGTTTTCGTTTTTGTTGTTATCGAGGAAACTGTCAAGGTCAGTCGCTGTTCCAGGTACAGTCTACAAAGATACTCACCTGCTCAACTTCTGCACAAACGGCGGGATCTGTTTCCGCTTCGCCTGTGCATCCTTCTTGGCAATAGCCGCCTTCTGCTCCAGCTCCTCATCGTCATCCACCGTCTCCCACTGTTGCGTCGGACTGGCGAATCCATCCCATTGATTCCGCCGTGGCGCAGGTGCAAGTTGCTGGTTTGTGTTTCGCCGTACCAATTGCCCCGCCATTTCCGCGCCGTCGTTGTATCCATCGAGCGACACGACGCGGCTGTGGCCTCCGCCCATGCTCTGGCCGTTGTAGTCGTATAGCGGCGGGTCGGTGAAGTTCATGTCTGCGCCAGCCGTGGGGTCGTTCCAGTTCATGTATGAGTCGGTCGCGGGGATGTCGTGCTGGTACGCCTGAGTGGGAGCCTGTGGTGAAGCACCCGGCGCGCGCCGCTTGCGGTTCGACATGAGTGCTCGCGCGCCTCGTGTGGCTGGAGCGAGGGAGATGTTTGATGGGTGCGTCTGCTGTGTGTATCCGGTGATCCCGCCGGCCTGAAAGATTCTTCGCGGGTCCTCGAGCGCGGCTATCAGCCTTGTCAATTCCGTGCAGATGCGAAGCCGTGGAAGTGCGAACAGACACTCCAAGTCAATGATGGAGTTTAATCGTAGGCCCTAGGTCGCGCGATTCCGTCACGATTATGTAGCAGCGGCAGTCCAGATTGTTGTCTTGTTGTCGCAGTTTTACTACACCACCGGGTGATTGTTCGAAACAGTTCGTTGACTCGCACAAAGAATCGGGGGGTGTTCCAGCAAAGGGCGCAAATACAAACGCCTGGAAGGCAGTTCTGGAAGGCAGCGGCGTCGTGATCAGGAAGGGCGCCGCGAGGCAGACATTCGGCGGAGCAAGATGAGTCGGGTCGTTTAAGTTTTGGTGGAGAAATCCGGGGTACCGGCGACCAATGGGTGGGCAGGCAGGCGACGGCGCTGTCGAAGGGTATGCGCAACGTGTTCAGATGCGGCGGAAGCCTGGAGGCGGGCGGTTGGATGGCGTGCAAGGCAGCGTCGGCACTGTCGCGTACGAACGCTCACGATGAGATCAGTAGACTTCACCGCACCGCCAGCGTCATTCGCTTAGCCTCGCGCTAGCATGACTCGCGACATCGTCTGGGTCCTGTCAGTAGTAGTAATGCTAACGTCCACTTTTCGACGCGACCTACAGCATCCTATTCATACTCACCCGCAGCTCTCAACACCAGTCTGGCAACGACATAAGGGCGTCAAAACTCTGTCATCCCGCCACCCGGCCACGTTGACCCATGACAGCCGGCATGATTTGCATTCGGCCCGTTTGAGGTGGAACGATGGCATTTCGCCTTGAATTCCCATGCTTTACTACAGATTTCCCATATTATTTCCCGATCAACAGCGCCACTCATCGAGATCCATCCTGCCACCAGTGGTCTATCATGCCAGGGGCTCAAACGCTGAATGGTGCTGGCTTCCGTGCAGTTGCTCTACAGTATTCAACCATGCCTCGGATTCCTACCTAGTAATCTTGAGAGCAGATGCCTCATACATAACCCGATCGACAGTGCATCTTGTCGGGAGCAATGGCAGTGCAAGCAGTTGACCATCGCAGCTCACACCTGTATGAGATGGCCATTACCCCCCTCTGCCGCCCCCACCCGCCCAAGCTTACGACGTCCAACAAGAGACCTTCATCCCCTCCCCCACCCATCCGTGCCTAGACCTCCCCTGCTTTACGACAGATCTCCTATAATCCTCCGATCAACAGTGCGTCCCATCATGATCCATCCCGGCATGGCACTCCTTCATACCAGGGACTCCCCATCGAACGTTCTAGATATCACCTGATTTGGTATAATGTTTGTTGACTCGTACGTTGCAAGATAAGTAACGTGGTGTCAGATCGACTCAACAGCCAGGGTATAAAGTCATGTGCCACGCGGTAGTGCTGTGGATGGGAAGGCATCTCCGGAGAAGTGAGATGTGTGAGTTTGGATTGGCCGCAGAGCGGAAGCGAGTGGCCCGAGCAACATGATACACAGAGTAGAGTATCGGACATGAGCGATACTCTGGCTTTGAGAATTCCATGCAGTCGGGACAAAGTCCTTACACCAATTTGTAATACTTCAACAGGCACCCCGACTCCAGACACCGAGTCTAGAACGTGACAAGTAGCAACCAGCGGGGACAGCAGCATGGCAAATCACTCTTCCGCCTGCTATTTTGTCGCAACACGCACGAGCATGCTACCTAGGTATGCGACGTAACGAGCAGAAAAAGCAGATACATTCACCTCCTGCACTACCCATCCAGTCACTAGCTTATATCAGCGATGAGTAATACTCCAACACACTTCGAGAATAGCCGCAGGATGAAATCAAAGACGTATTTGGAGCAACGGCCTGGACAATTGTTATCGGCAGCACCGGAACCTTGGTTAGTAACCATGTAGTCGGATCAAAGTCAATGCATATTGCCGAAATCTCGGGTACAGAACACAGTTGATACACGAAGAATGGAGCCACAGAAGTAGAAAACACGAAAGATCAGATCAAAAATTGCACACCTTCCATTACAATCCTGTCGCACCACCTGGGAGCACCAGCACTATCCAAAAGACTATAATAATAAAGAATCGCGAATCGAAAAAC